AATGAAATGTAATGTGGATAAATGTAAAGTAATGCACACTGGAAAAAGTAACCCCAACTATACATATAATATGATGGGGGCTAATTTAGCTACAACTAATCAGGAAAGAGATCTTGGAGTTATCACGGATAGTTCTCTGAAGATGTCCACACAGTGTGCAGCGGCAGTCAAAAAAGCAAACAGGATGTTAGGAATCATTCAAAAAGGGATAGAGAATAAGATGGAGCATGTCTTATTACCCTTATATAAATCCATGGAACGCCCACATCTTGAATACTGCATACACATGTGGTCTCCTCATCTCAAAAAAGATATACTGGCATTAGAAAAGGTTCAGAGAAGGGCAACTAAAATGATTAGGGGTTTGGAATGAGTCCCATATGAGGAGAGATTAAAGAGACTGGGACTTTTCAGCTTGGAAAAGAGGAGACTAAGGGGGGATATGATAGAGGTATATAAAATTATGAGTAGTGTGGAGAAAGTGAGTAAGGAAAAGTTATTTATTTGTTCCCATAATATAAGAACTAGGGGCCACCAAATGAAACTAATGGGCAGCGTGTTTAAAACATATGAAAGGAAGTTCTTCACACAGCATATAGAGTCAGTTAGATTAGGGGAAAAAAACTTAGGAACTCTCACTGCTCCATTTAAGGCCTTTCCCTGAAAGTGCTCTTTGGAAAAGCTTCCAGTGAAGTTAACGTGAGTTATGTGCATGGAAAGCTTGAATTACCAGACATGTAGTGTTATATGTAGCATGTCTATGTTGATACACAACATTTATAATATGGGTCATGCATAGAATGCTATAAAATATACATAATACATTTGAAGAGCTGGGAAATTTCCATTTCATTTTTTCATTACATTGAAATATCCACAAAACAACTCTTATGGATTTGAATAAGCGTTGTTAAATGTTAATTGCTGGAAGGCTTCAATAGGCTACTGTAGCAAACCAATTCTACTCATTAGTACAAAATACCGATGATGCTGAGGTGGAGTAATGAAGCAGCTATTGTTAAAAGCAACAGAAGATTTGATTCATGTAACACTAAACTGAATTCAGGCAAGGTTGAAAATCCATGTGCATATCAAGTGACAAAAACAAGGAAGGCCTAGTATGTCTGTACAGTAGGGATGCTAACGTGTAGATGACTATATGATTAACCAATAAGCCTTGGGCTATCGGTTAATCCTGTTGACTACACGCATTCCCCCTCTCCATCAGAGCCAACAAGGGGGAGGGCGAGAGCAGGTGCCTGTGAGGAGCTGGCTTTAAGCAGGTTCCCCATGAGCACTGGATCCACCTGCCCCCTCCATCCCTGCACTGCTGCCTCTGATAGAGAGGCAGCAGCATGGAGGACAAGGGGGGGCAGGCGGAAGCCACTACATATGGAGAGCTGGGAAAGCTGGCTCTCCGCAGGTGCTAGCTTCTCAGACCCGCTTGCCCCTCCTTGCTGCCTCCTACAGAGGTGGAAGAAGTGGGGGCAGACAGGGCTGCTTGCCTCTCACTTGCTGCTTTCTCTTTCAGAGGCAGCAATGCGGGGAGGCTGCCACAAAGCAGATTCTGTCCACAATGAGGTCTGTGCTCCTGAGGACAGAGGCTGCTCCAGCATCCCACGGTGCAGCTTCTGTATGCGATGAGCCTGGGGCCGCAGCAGACAGAGGCTGCGGGTATGAGCTCCCCACGAACAAGGGCCGCTGCTGTGGAGCACCCTCTGTCCATGGGAAGCTTGGACCTCTGACATTGAGAGGGGCAGCAGGCGGAGCCGGTTTGCATGGGAAGCTGGTTTTTAAACTGGCTCCCCTTCTGGGCTGGCTGCTGCCTGCCACCCCATGCTTCTGCCCTTGATAGAGAGGCAGCAGCGTGGAGGGTATGAGCTCCCCACGAACAAGGGCCGCTGCTGTGGAGCACCCTCTGTCCATGGGAAGCTTGGACCTCTGACATTGAGAGGGGCAGCAGGCGGAGCCGGTTTGCATGGGAAGCTGGTTTTTAAACTGGCTCCCCTTCTGGGCTGGCTGCTGCCTGCCACCCCATGCTTCTGCCCTTGATAGAGAGGCAGCAGCGTGGAGTGGCAGGGGGCTCCCCGGGAGAGGGGCTGGGAGTGCACTGGCTGCTGGCCCTACCCTCAGGGACTACCGAATAGTTGTGTAACCGCTAAAAGTCAATGCAGTTACACTACTGTTCAATTACTCACTAACATCCCTACTGGAAAGACCAACATCATACACTTGAATCTCTTTAATCCGGCAACCCTGAGAAGCAGAGGTGCCGAGTATGAGACCCAACATTTTAAAAAATGGGCTTAATTTTCTGATTGCTAGGTAAATAAATTGGGTCAGTCTCTGTTGTTCCGCAATCCCTTCGTGCTGCTCTGGAGGTGCAGGAGACAGGAAAGCAGTTTGATTTTGCCAACTGATCACTTTCCTGGCACAAAGGAGTGGAAAGATGGGGTAGAACTCACATACTCCCAGCTCCTGTACCACATACCCACCCAATCCTGATATCAATGTCGTCAGGAGCATGTACATGATGGAATCATGCTGAGCTTTGACCATCCCCTTCTCATGTATACTCCTTGGAGACAACTGTCAGCTGGCACAGGTTACTGCAGTGTTATGTTGTGACTTATAGGGTATGTCTACACTACCACCCTCCATGGCCAGCTCGTCTCTATGGAGCTTCCAAGGCTGGGGCTCCCCCCCCTGCCGCTGCCCTGATAAAGCTGGCCCAGCTAAGGCTCCCTGCCCTGCTGCCCATCCACTGCACTGGGGGTTTCCAGAGGTTCCCCAGCTAGGGCTGCCCAGCCACGATGCCTCTGCGGGTTCCTCGGGGTTCCCCAGCCCCAGGCCGCCCGGAGCCGCTGCTGCTGGGGGTTTCCCAAGG